GCCAACCATACGAGGATGTGGGGGAAAGAATTTTTTAAGATGAAACAGGAAGTATAATAAAAAGGCCACAAGGTAGGAGGGACCCTCAAAGTGTTGACTGCCTCCCCAAATCTAGTTCCCTTTTCTTCCCTGCCGTAGAGACCTGTTCTTGCCCCATTTTTCAGCTTCCTCCCGTGCTTAGAGTAAGTGGACTATTGTCAATCAGTGTGTGTGTGTGTGGCTTCTGGGAAGACAAGTGGAAAAGGCTGGAGTCTTCTCTTGAGACTGGATGGTGTGTAATATTGTGATGTTTGGGGCCACAATGGCCACCTGGCAACTATAATCAGGGCTAGTAATTAAGCAGCTGATGGCAGAGCAGATAGATCAACAGAATCTGAATCCTCCATGATCACAAAGTGAACAGTTGAATAAACCATCTTAAAAGTCTCCTCTCCCACCCATACCTCTTCTTGTGGGAGATAGTGAGTTGCCTTATTGTTTAAAATATGTGAAGTCAGAGTCTCTATTATATGAAGCCAAAATGCCACCCAGGGTGGCTGGAACACAGACCGCAGGGCTGTGAGAGAGGGACAAGAGAGAAGGTGTTTAGATTGTATCTAATTCCAATAGAGAACCACTAGAGGGTTTCAAATAAAGGCAGGCAGGATATAATGTGCACTCTGGCCCCTGTGTGGAGAATGAACTGTGGGTATAATTCCATTCTTCTGTCACTGTTTATAACTGTGTACCTGTTTTTGGAATACATTCATTTCATATCTCTCAAGTTTTTCCTTCTATATTTATTTTATAATCTACCAGAAATTATTTCACTACCAGAATGTCTTAACTGATATATTATATAGCAAAATGTTTAAGAATATAAACTATGAGCTGCAAACATGCAAAGAGAGGAAGAACAAGACAAAAAACAAACTTTGATGAAAAAAACTGATATATTTCTTTTGAAGTAAAGAGGGAGGACTTGACCTTGTCCTCTGTAGCCCATATTCAGCAGCTTGAAAGTTCACTGATAATAACCTTACAGTCTAAAAAGATGAATTATTACATCTCATTTCCTCATAAGATTAGGCATCAACTTGGCACAATGTTTACTTATCTTTATGAGGTCTATTAAAGACATGCTCAACCTAAACATACAAAACATGAATGGAATTTAGGTATAATTCTCTTTCAACACAACAGGATATGAAACACTGTATGCATATTTCACATACATACCTCCTCACCTAATATGACTTATCCAGTCAAACATGTTCCTGCCCAAACCACCCAGTTAGTGATAAATATTTATAAATACCTTCTGTGCTCAATTAATGTTGAGTTATACTTTAAAGGCAACTTACATAAAGGTAAATTGAAATGGAAGCCAATGACAATTATTCGTTTTTTCCTATAGTGATTACATCTTTCTTTTCATGACAATTCCACTTCCTGTGTAGCTATGTTACTTGATCAGACCTCTGTGACTTTAAGTTTAGAATATAAACTACATCCTTCAGTATCTTTAGATTTCTTTCTAAATAGAAAGCAGGAAAACCTGCTCAGTCTCTCTTCCATCACAAAAAGCCAAGGGGAGAAAAGTATGAGAGAAGTTTAATTTAACTTGGTTTATAAACACACAGAGTCAGGCCCTGTCCTCTAAATTAAAAGCTGCCTTCCTGATGCCCTTCTTTTTCAGACTTTTTAACCTTTACACTGAGATTATTTTATAGAATAAAGCCATCCTTACATTCTTGACCTAAACAGCTTATATTTTTGTAGATGTCTTACCATGGGCCAACCACTTTATGTGGACTACTACCTCAATGAATCACAGCCTATTAGGTGAAGACCAATATTCCCATTTCATAGATAGGGAAACGGAAGTGAGGGCTGGGACTAGAGTGAAGAGGTGCCCTACCTAGGGTGCCTCGCTTGCCATACCCTGGTCATAGCTCTGACTGGGCCAAGAGAGCCGAAGTAACTTGCTCATTACACAATACTCTCTGTCCCTAGATGGACAAAGAAACGACAGTCAGTCCACATTTTTATATCCTTAAACATATTCTAATCTATGACAAAGAGCCTTGGGGCTTGGAATCAGGAGGCTGAATTCTAGAAGGAGCTGTGTGTGTTTTCTTACCATTCAGTGTTAATGTCTCAAATAAGAGGATCAGACATACTTCCACAGATGCAAAAGTGCCTAGACAACTGAAAAGCTCTCTTACTAGGTAAGCTGTCATGGTTATGAGGTCAAAAGACTGCTAGAAGCTTGGAGGGATCAAGAGTCTTAGGAGAACTTTGTGAAAAGGAGAGGCAGAAATTGATCGGTTCAGCTGCCAGGGTCATCTGGGTGTGAACATGTGTGTGTTTGGAGGGAAAGGTGATAAGGAGATGACCTGGATTATCTGGAGAACAAGCAAAGACACCTCTTATGAATGTGGCCCATTTAGAATTAAATCAACCACTGACCAAGGCTCTACTTGGCGTGGCCACATTTCCTGCATTCACAAGCCTTCCTTCTGTTCCTTTAAGTCAGACCACATGCTGCCTGCTGTTACCTGAATAATCCAACATCATTCCCACCTCAGGATCTTTGCACTTCCTGTTCTCTTTTCCCTGAACACTTTCCCCCTAGATCCATGGCTGGCTCCTCATAACCCCAGTTGCAGTTGAAAAGCCACTTCTTTCTAGAGGATTTCTCAGACTATCTAAAATAGCACTCCCCAAGTCCAATGCAAGCTCTCTGAAAGGGACCTCTTCTGTGTTCACGACTGTATCCTCCGTGCCTGACACATAGCAAATAGGTATTCGCTGTCTTCTCTACCTGAAGTCGGGAGATTCTCCTCAGGGATCGAGGGCCACTTGCATGTATTCCTAGTGAACGACTGGGGAATTGCGAAAGCTATCATGGCAAGCCTAGGGAACCTCCGTGAGGGCAAGCATTAAGTCCAAGCTCCCAGGAGGGGCCGAGGAATGTGACGCGTGGGGGGCTCACCTGCCGAATAGCCGCCAGAGTGTTCTCGGGGGCGTCGTGGCTGCCGCCGCGGTGGGCGATGGCGGAAACGCGGTCCCGGGGCTTGAGCACCTGCAGGGCCCTGCGAGAGGGCACAGGCTCAAAACTGAAGAGACGCAGCAGGAGGTAGAGGCTGCCCGTGAAGAGAGAGGCATTGAAGGGGCTGCGCGTCACCAGCAGCTGCAGCAGCAGGAGGAACGAGAAGGGGCCCAGGAGGCCCCCCTGTTCCTCCCACAGCCACATGCCGGTGCCCGCACCGGCACGAACGGGAGGCCCGGGCCCGCCGGGCTCCCCGGACAGCAAGGCGAGAAGCGAGGGCGAGAGCCCAAAGTACTCGCCGAAGCCGGCACCCTTTATGGGGAACCAGCGCCGCACAATGGCGGCGGCGGCCCCATCCGAAGCGGGAGCTATGGATCCAGCCAATCAGGGTCGGGGATCGCGAGAGCTCGGGGGCGGGGCCGTTGCCATGGCAACGGAGGCGGGCCTAGGCCCCAGGCTCGTGTTCCAAGGTAGCTCTGGATTCTTCTGGAGTTGGGACTTCGACCTTGACTTTGATGCTAGAGAAATGCAGGGATCCAAGAGCCGTCGTACAGTTGTAGGACTGGAAGGGATTTTAGTGACTCCTTTCTGCCCTCAAGGAAATTGCTCAGGGAGCCTTGTGAAGGGGCAGGACGCTTTGACTGTTTATTCAATTCAAGATGTGCAAGCACTAGTCCATGTGCTCAGGACGTGGCAATGAACAGGACAGACAGGGTCACTGCTCTCGTGCAGCTGCCATTCTTTTGGGGAGGAAACAGTAGTGTTAGAGAGTACAGCTAACATACAATACTTACCATGTTCCAGGTTCTGTGCTGCAACCGCTTTGTGCATTGTCTCATGTGTTCTCACGCCAGTCTCAGGGGGTATGTATGCATTATTATCTTAGGAGACTGAATGCAGTTGACTTGAGGATTTTTCGGGTTCTGAGGGAATTAAAGAGCATAGGAAAAGAGGCACACTCGAATTGTGAAGCTGGAAGGAATTGTAATGATTTCCCTTATTTTATAGATGAGGAAAATGAGGCCAGGAGTGGTGAAGGGAGTTGAGCAGTTAATGGCAGAGTCAGAACTGACATCAAGCCACCCCAGTTTTAAGCAGTGGCCTTTGCCACGCCTCCTCCTTACCTTATTTCTCCTTCTTCTAAGGGTTAACAGTGGGGCATATGTACCAGGCACTGGGCAGGAATTCTTTGTGTTAGGCACTTTTAAAAGTCTCATTTTACATATGCAAAAAAAGGCACGGGAAGGAGGCGTCAGTAAGAGAGGCAGAAGGTAGAGACAGTCAGGAAATGGAAAAGGGCCACTACATCATATTTCGGAAGCTAGTTAACATTTTAGATACAGAACTTCGGTAAAACATTTGGAGCTTTAGGCCATCTTGAGTCTGTTACCTTTCTTTCTTGGACATTCTTTTTCCACTGATTTGCAAAAGTTAGCATCTAGGATTTGGCAATTTTTCATTTACAGAGAAAAACTTTTGGTGGATGTTGTATGTTTTGCAATGACCACACAGAGAGGTTATCTATACAGATAAACAGCAGCAATTTCAAGGACTACTTCAGGGGACTTTAGACCCAATGAGATAAATTTGAGTTTTAGAGACGCTAGCCTGAAGTGAACAATACGTTTCCCAGCGTGCATTCGCGCTTCCGGTAAGTCCTACGACTTCCATTCCTGGGCCAGAGCTCAATGCACCTCGGGGATTGTAGTTTTCTGAAGGCTAACCGTTTCAACGGCCCGGGAAGGAGCCACCGGAAGTGCGGATACGGAGAGGTGGAGTCTGGGCGGTGGCGCCGGTTGCCTGGAGCTTGTGTTGCCCCTTGAGACCCGTAATATGGCGGGGAGGAGAAGGCGGAGGCGGCGGCGGACCCAGCTGCGCTCTGTCGGTACCAATTGAGCCGTTTGCTTCCCGACAAGGCCGGGTCGAGGGGAGGAAAGCTGACGGGCCAGTGGGAGCTCAGGTGTGTGCGTAAGGAGAGGGCTGGATCCTCAGCGGGTCCCGGCCGCGAGGCGACCGCGGGAGGCGCAGTTGGCGCCCTGAGAGCCGAGCGCGGGCTCGTACGGAACCTGAGCACAGGTGCTGGGCTCCCAGGCTTCCAGCTGAGGAAAGCCTCCGGGTGTAGGAGGCGTTTGCCCGCGGGGCCGCCGACAGCAGGCGGGGAGGTGATGATCGGAAGCTGGCACTGCCTGGTGGGCCCGCGGGATGGATCCTTATCAGAAGAGCCGGAGGAGGTGGGCGTGGGGCGCCCAGGTGAGGGCATAGGGTCCTGGGTAAATAAATTGGGGCCACACCGGGGAAGCACCTCTTGTTGGTAAAAACTGTTTGAGCCGTTTTTTTTCCCTTCCCACGATGCTGACGAGAGAGGCGTCCTCAGGGTTTATGCATTGGCCATTTCTGAACCCCAGTTACCACAACCAAAGGCTCTAGAAGCGCTGTTTACTCTGCCTTTGCTACTCCGGGGAATAAGCACAGTATTTTACTTAGAGGATAGTAAAGCAAATTCTCTTGATTGCCCCTCATGCTTCTACGTGGTTCCCACTCTTCGCTTGTGTCTGTATATAATCCCAGTTCCCTAGCACCGTTTAGACAAATAGCAGGCACCTAGAGACTGATTGATGGGGAGGGTTTGGAAACAGCGAAATGAAGCAGCTTTCGTTCACCTTTCCATGTTTTTAAATTACATTTGAATCTTACCAGGAACTAAGTACTTTGGTTGCTCTTCAGTTCATGATCTAGTGATTAAAAAAAAATCATGGTCATTACCATCTTCGTAATAAAAGCAAACCCCCTTTATTATTGCTTTCTGCCTGTTCCGCAGTATGTGCTAATAGCCAGACATGTATTAGTTCACTGAATCCTCACAGAATCTCTTTGAGACAAATACTCTGATTATCCCTATTTTACGGATGAGGAAACTGAGGCATAGAAATGGTAAGTGAATTGCCGAGAACATTCAGCTGGTATGTGCCTGAATAAGAAACCTTCTCTTTTATTGTTCTTACAAGACTTTTGTGCCTTTGGGAGGCCTGATGGGTAAACAACCAGCTAGGATCTGAAAACAAGGCAAGATGTGTTCTGTTACTTTCACCATTGCCTTCAGCGACACTTCTGGTAGAGCACTGGTCAGGAGCAGGTAGGAGGGCCATGAGTCTGTGCGGTTTGCAGAAAGACTCACTTGGAAAAAGTCATGGTACAAATGGAGAAGACAAGGCATGTCTGAACCTGATGCAGCTTGACAAATTATTGATTCCAGTGGACCAGTAATGCCTGATGGTAAAGTACGGGGCAGTAGGTTTGTGGTTGGAGTAGCCTTGTAGTCAAGTCTCCTTTCAAAAATACCCCTGCTGACAGAGGTGATTGTGGTGTGACAAATGAAGTGCCCACTTGCTTAATCATATAGGATTTGGACGCTTACTTTTTAAATGGTTCAGAGTTCCCGGGTTCCTCTGAGAACAGGGTAATCCTTCTACCTGCCGTTCTCTAAATTCATTCTTCCTTGCTAGCTTCTTTGCTCTAAAGCCCACTCTTCTTTTTTCTCCTGGGACATTATTACTTGAGCTAATTACCCTAATTCATTTATTTAATATTTTTATCAAGTGTCTAGTGTGTGCTGACACTGTTCTAAGCGACGAGGATTCAGTGGTGAACAAGCCGGAGAAGGTACCTGTGCTTATGGAGCTTGCGTTTTGGTGGAGGAAGACAGACAAAAATCAAGGAAATAAACAAGATAATTTCAGATAGTGGTGAGTGCTGTGAAAATGGGGAAACAGCAAGGTAATATGATAGTGACTGACACAGGGTTAATTTAGATGGGATAGTCAGGGATGGCCTCTCCAAGGAGGGCACATCCAAGCTGACACTGAAGGATATCCAGTCATGCTCTAGGAGCATTTTGTAATTCCCATAAGCAGCTGTAGTAGCCCTTGTGTTTGGATGTTTAATGCATTTCATAGGCTATAAATGATGCTGTAACAATAGTCTATTACTGTACATCTGAAGTATGTGTGATTGTGTGTCCTATTTAAGGGATGTGAATTTAACTTTGAAGCAATGGGTCATGTCTATATGATGGTGTTGAAAGAAAAACAGAACTTGCCATAAAAATATTTTATTTCCTTAAATTTTCCCAGGCCTTTAAAATAGAATTTTAGGCTTTGCTTGTGTATCCAGAGGAAGTATATTACGTTATATGTATATATTATTGTACAAGTAATCTGTTTACATTCCCTGTACTGCTGGATGCATGGGTTGTGTTAAAAATTTTGGAATATTTCAGTAGAAGTGGGGTAATTTGAATTTCTTTTACATCTTAGTTTTTGCATATTTTGGTTGTTAAGGTAACATAATGTTGTTATGTTAAGGGTTGAAATCCAGACTGAAAAAAATGAGGCCTTTTTTGGTTTATAGTTTTAAAATGAACACTTAAAGGAACATTATAGTATTTTTCTGTTCTCACAGTTAATATTCTTCTTGGTCACAAATATAATGATATCTCTCTTTTTATTCTCTCTTATTTAAAGGAAACTATGCCAGATATAATGCTATGGAAACAGGCAATCAAATACTTAACTCTTTGCTAGATAAATGGATAGTGGCGAATCCTTCCTGGTTACCTTGCATTTTCATGACCACCATCACAGTTTTCCAGAAATTATGAAATTACTGGGCTGATTGTTTAAGTAGTTTGGTGGTGATTCTAAATTTCAACAATAAAATAGAATTAATGTGAGAGACAATAGGTTTTCTGTTTTCCTTCTCTGACTTGCCTAGTGACTATGGAGTCAAATATATTTTTAAGGTATGAAAGTAATAGACTTCGATAGAAAAAGGATTTTTAAAAGTAAATATCATCTTTTATTTAAATAGCCCCATGTCTTCTTTTTTTTGGCTACCAAAGCATTTCTACCTTTGTATGATTTAGTGTTTCTTATATAGACAAATTCTGCCAAAGAAAATATTCTACTTTATAATCTAAAGCTAATAGAGTGTTATAGAACTTTGTTTCCTTGATAAAGGTTTTACTGGTGAGGTTTTTCTAAACTAATGACATTTAAAGATTGACTTAAGGTAGAAATATTCAGAAGTACTTAATATATGAAGCAGGGCTTAACTTGAAGTGCTTACCTATACTCAAAGAATTAATTCCTGACAAGTGAAAAAATTCTGGAGAGGCCAGTCAGGGATGTTTTAGAGCTCTCCAAAATTTGCCGCATAATTAAGATATATTTTTCTCAGCACATTGAAAATGACGTTTTTCTTTCTTGTAGTGTGATTGTGGGAAAATGGAGGAATATGAGAAGTTTTGTGAGAGAAGTCTTGCCAGGATCCAAGAAACATCACTATCCACAGATTGCTTTCTACCTGTCCAGCCTGAAAGCATGTCACTTATTAGCTTCCATGGAGTGGCTGTGCTTTCTCCACTGGTAAACATTCTTTGATTTTTAAATGATGCTTTTTTCTATAGTGAACCACTAAGGAAATAAACAGAGAAACAAAGAAATTCTTATTAACATCAAAAAGATGCCTAACTCTTATTCATAACTAAACAAACTAGTTAGCAGTTTTTACCTGCTATACTGGCAAAGATCTGTTTCTTAGGTTGTAGAGCAAACGTACTTAGAATTCACTTTTGCTGAGAGAATGAGTTGATTTTATTTTTGGGTGAGCAGTTTGGTAGGGCTTATCATGATGTAAGTGTATGTAACCTTTGACTCAGCAATTCCATTTTTGGTAATCTCTTACAATTATCTATGTGCCTGAAGAAATATGTACAAGGTTATAGTAGCATTTATTTATTGTTTAAAATAACAAAAGATCAGTGAACATTCTAAATGTCCATCAGTAGTGGATTACTTTAACTGTGGTCCATTTTATAGACGCTCATGCATGCCATTAAAATGAGCACAGTAGACCCAATTACGCAGGCATGGAAGGATCACCACAGTCTGTTATAAATCACCACACAGTGTGCTCTCAGAAGCAGTGTAATGTAGCAGTTAAAATCCCAGCTCTGGAGCCTTCTGGCCTGGGTTTATCATAGCTCTACCACTCAACCTGTTGTGTGCAGGTCCATTTTCTTTATTTGTGAAATGAGGATAAAAATAGTACCTATTTCCTAGAGCTATTTTGAGGATTAAATGAACTAATCATGTAGAACACTTAGAACACTACCTGGAGAGGAGATAGTCTATGTTAACAATTTGGGTTTTTAAAGGATATTACATTCTTTCTCTAAGAAAGGGTAAGGGAATATAGGATGAGACGAAAGAGACTTTTCACTGTATATACTTTGATACTGATTGAATATTTTAAAAATAATATGTGTTGTGACATTTTTGCAAATCAGAAAATACAACTGAAAGTTCAAAAAAATTTTTTTATTGTGGGAATTAAAAGATCAATATCTTCTGCCAACTTTTTGTAATGAAATTTTCAAACATACAGAAAGGTAAGAAAGGATAGGACAATGACCACCCATATGTCTACCATCTAGACTCAACTATTTTTTTACATATTGTCATCTTTGCTTTATTGTGTGTGATTTTATGTATATGTATATGTGTATATATACCTACATAGTTTTTGTTCTATTGCTGAGCCATTTGAAAATTGCAGGTACGTAACACTTCTCCCCTAAAAATTTTCTAAAAATACATATTCTAAAAATAAGGATCTTTTCCTACGTAAAGCCCCAATGCCATTCATTATCACACCTTAAGGAGATTAATAATAATTTTAGTAGCATCTAATGTTCTGTTCATATTTAATTTTTTCCATTTGTGTTCCAAATGTCTGTTAAAACTACTTTTTTCTAATCTGGATCCAGTCAGAGTTTACAAATAGTATTTGCTTGTTGTAGTTTTTAAATCTCTTTTTCTCTAGTACAGTCCCTCTAACTCTTAAAAGAATTTTTTTTTATTATAGTGAATTTTTAAAGAGAACAGACCAGTTATCTTATAGAATGCTTATGTTGTGGATTTTTCTAGTTGTTTACTTATGTTTATATTTAATTTGTCTTCTAGTCCCTGTATTTCCTATAAACTGGAAATTAAAAGTCTGATTAGTCAGGTTAAACATTTTTGGCAAGAGTTCTTTGGAGATGATTCCATGTGTTGCATATCAAGTTAAATCAGAAGCTACATAATGGCTAGCTGTCACGCTATGAGTTTCATTCGAACCCTTGCCTTTTACAGTGGTGACTGCCAGATGATTCTTTAAAGGTATATATTCTCTACTTTTTGGTTAGCAAGTAAATTGTGGGATGATTCTTTGTTACCATGCAAATATAAGAAATATTTAAGCATTTTTATCAACCACTTGACCTATTGCTTGATTAGCTTAATGTGGACCAAAATGTCTGAGCCTTATACACTCTATGACTCCATCAGTTATTTATAAGAAAGATCTGATGTTTATGGATTCAATGCATATTTTTATGTTGTATTTGATAGATGACTACTGTAACTTTGGAATAATTTTTTATGACAGTTTCTATTTTTATAAGTCTAAAATCAGTTTTGACTTCTTAACATAGTGACTAAACTTCCCAAAACTTGATTTTTGTAGGCAAATAAAACATTATCTGTTTCTTTTATCATTAAACCTTTAGACATTTTCAGGAGGTAGCAAGGAGGTAAAGTGTACACTGATTAGAAGATGAGAAATTGAAGAATGTGACCCAGTGAAGTAAGATACTGTCAAATGACAAGCCCCACAATGGCCAAAGAGCTAATTTCTCTCTCATTTTAGAGCATTTGATAAATGAACAGGTTTTTGGTGTTTTTTTTTCCTTTAACTTTCTTTTAATTGAGAATAATTGGCATACAGTAAAGTGCACAGATCTAAAGCATTAAAGTTCTGTGAGTTTTGATATATGGCATACATTGTATGACTCACACCCACAAGGAACATTTTCACTGCCCCAAAAAGCTTTTGCATGCCCTATCCTAATCATTACCCCAATCACTGTTCAGATTTCTTTCCCTGTGGTTTTACCTGTTGCACATGGGTTTGATTTTACGATATTTTTATGTTTGTGAGAAATAATTACATGTTTATGATATTTTGCAGCTTAACATTGAGAAAAGAAAGGAAATGCAACAAGAAAAGCAGAAAGCACTTGATGTAGAAGCAAGAAAGCAGGTTAATAAGAAGAAAGCTTTACTGACTCGTGTCCAGGAGATTCTTGAAAATGTTCAGGTGTGTATTTTAAGCTCTTTTCAATCATAAGAAATCACAAGGTAAACATAATGATAACTTCTTAAAAGTATGTTTGCACTTACTAGCTAATTAATCTTTAAATAATATACTTTACTGTTATGTTAGAGAAACTTCATAATTTGTGATATTCTGTTTCAGTTAGTCCAAAGAAAGTTCATAAATTATAAGAAATTACAAGGTAAACTTGTGATAATTTTTTAGAAGTATGTCTGTACTTACTAATTAATTTTTAAATAATATACTTATGTTAGAGAAGCTTTATAATTTGTGATATTCCATTTCAGTTACTCCAGAGAAAATTCACTTGCTTGTTACTGATGCCTAGTACTTGAATCAGAGGGTACTTAGACAGTGGAGTCATACACTGAATATAATTGCTTATTGTCTGTGTCTTATGACTCTAAAAACATTGAATTCTCAGTGACAGAATGATAGAATTGGCCATTGTAGTTTACTCTAAACTAATCAGACTATTGACTCAATGACCTTATTCTTATTCTCTGCTAAAGTAAATAACTGCCCCCAATTTTTCTTGGTGAAAATTCTGTTCTTAGATTCACAAATACAATTTAGATTAGATAAATAGAATTGCCTAGATATATCTTAGATCCAATTTGAAACCGTTTAAACAACACATCCATGCCTTTTACAATTATTTTTATTTAGTTTCATTTAAATTTGTATAAATAATTTGTTTTAAAGCCTGAATCATTTCATACTAAAAAGAAAAATAAATGAATTAGATTGAACAAATAATTTCTGACATATCGTCCTGTTTTGCTGGTTATGTGTTGTTTTTCATAATATTAGGGGTTTGTGCTTTGTGTAATTTATACTAGATGATACATGTACAGTGAATCTTAGGATATTTCCCACTATCTGCTACCTCATTTCTCTGTAGGTAGTAAATTTTAATTTTCAAATTATAATTACTGCTTATATAAGTTCAAGAAACATAATGTGTAACACAATTTGGGTGGGTTTTTGATTTATTAGTTATTTCCTGTTATTAAAACCGAAGTGGCATACCATTCTTGGTCCACTGAGTAATGTACCAATATACTACTAATGAGATTATTATTGAGTCTGAAAACTTGCTCTGTTTAATAGAACATTTACAATGTTGAACTGTAGAATAATGAATTATGCAGATAGCGAAATGTTACATAAAACAAATAGATTTCTTATTATTGAGTCTGAAAACTTGCTCTGTTTAATAGAACATTTACAATGTTGAACTGTAGAATAATGAATTATGCAGATAGCGAAATGTTACATAAAACAAATAGATTTCTAAGTTCTTTTTTACCCATAAAACCTACTACTCTATGATAATTTTTGTTGTTATTTAAATCGTCTAATAAAAGACTCATTTTAGTGGTGTTGACAGAAACATAGCTGTTTATTATCACAGATGTGAAATATGAGATATTTTAACGAAATAGTTTATTTTACTTGAACCTATGAATGTGTTCATAGATTTCTTGAATCTGTACCCTTTCAGTTGTATTTTGGTCCTGAGATTGTGACTAAGTATACCTTGTTGTACTGTTTATTGCTTAGTACCTGGAAACCATTACATGTCTTGGGATTTGTAAGGTAAAATAGGAGTGCTATATGGTCTGGGGAAAAAAACACATACAAAACAGCCTAGAAATCTTTATTAATTCAGGAATCTGGAGTCTGTATTCATATGATAATATAATAATATCTGCCAGTTTAATATATGCTTGTATAATCTTTAGAAATATCCTAGTTAACTTTCTTTTTGCAAAGTTGAATTATTTAGATACAAAATGTAATTTTATTTTTTTCTGTTGGATCTCTATACAATTCTCATCTTAATCTATCAAATTTTTTACTTATTTTGCTTGTCCTAAAGCTCAATGGGTTGCTGTTTTAAATAATACCACCAGTTAACCAAATTGAAATTTGCTTTTATGAATTGGGTTTTAAGTTGAAATTTTTCTTATTTGTAAGTTATTTAAGCTACATGGCTGATCTGTCATGTACTACAAATTTGCCTCATCAAGGACTTTAGTTAAGTTTTGAGTAAGCATGTAGGAGGCAGGAGTCTTATTATTGAATTATTTTTGCTTAATCAGTATCCTGGGCAAGTTAGTCTTTGTTAAAGAGGGAATCATTCATGTGAGAAATTTAATTACTTGCTCTTTCTCTTGTACATCATTACCTCATTACCCTTAGATGGTAGCCCTCATAAGCAGAACACTTGGTGACATTCATAACATACAACCAGTAGAAAGTTAAGGAAATGCTTCTATTCCAAGATTAAATCACACATGGAAATATGAATATATTACATGTATGTATACACGTGCACATATGTACATATATGTATCAGATTAGATAATTTCCTTTTCCTTTAATAATAAATAAGCCAGGATGACCAACAGATGTTTCTTATAGTAATTTGAGTTCCATGTGATATAGGGTACCATAGAAAAAGGTCATTTTAATTTTTATTTGTGTTTTCAAATATATGAACTCTGAATCTTCAATTTTATTATAGAAAGCAATGAAATTAAAGGCCTTTGTGCAGTGAGGAAATTCTAAGTTTTAAATTTTCTTTTTCAGGTTAGAAAGGCACCTAATGCCAATGATTTTGATCCATGGGAGACTGAAACAGTTTATTCTAATTCAGAAGTCAGAAACTTGAATGTCCCTGCTACATTTCCAAATATCTTGCCAAGCTCTACTGAACACTCTACTTTAGCAAAGTTTGAAAATGTAACTGGAATGTTGCCATTGAATAATGAGGATGAATTTAAATCTAATGGTGTAGACTTAGCTAGGGACTCAGAAGAATTTAATGCTCTGAAGCAATGTGATAGTTCAGGTATTAGCCACACAGAAAACGAAGCTTCTCTAAAGACCTCAGCAACCCCGCAAGAGGCTCTTATTTCTGATGATCTCTTCCCAAGAAGTGATGAACAGGACCCATCACTCTCGGAAAAAGTTACTCCGGATCCCTACATAATAAGTCTTCAGAACCTGATGAAACAGTCAAAGGAATATATAGAAAGAGAACAATCTAGACGTGGTCTGAGAAGTAGTGCAAAGAGGAGTATTAATGAGAGTCATTCAGACAAAGAAAATGATGCTGTTAAAGTGACCGACTATGTAAAGAAGGCCCAGTTGACAGGCAAACACTGTGGTTCAGTTATTCCTGACAAACCAAGCCTTAATAAATCAAATGTTCTTCTCCAAGGTGCTTCCATTCAAGCAAGCAGCATGAATACATCTGGTTTAAGTAGCTTTTCTAAAGTGGACATACCTATACGAACTGGCCACCCTACTGTTACAGAACCTGAATCTGATTTTAAAGTCATTCCCACTTCTGTTACTGAAAATAATGTTATCAAAAGTCTTACTGCTTCATATGCCAAATTACCTAGTCCAGAGCCAAGCCTGAGTCCTAAAATGCATCGAAAACATTCTAGGCCATCATCAGCATGTCATATACTTATAAATAACCCAATAAATGCCTATGAATTAAGTCCTAAAGGAAAAGAACAGACAGTAGACTTAGTTCAGAATACTGATGAAAAAACAAATATACCTGAAACCGTGCCAAAGTTACCAGTTGATTTAGCAGTTTGTTCAAGCAAGGTTTATGCCAGCAAAAACACATCCGAAACCATACAGGAAATGGTTTTAGCTAAATCAAATCAGGTTTGTCAATCTTCAGGAAGTCCATTAGAAAATAAAGTTATTCACGGACTTGCTATCGTGGAAGGTCAGTTAACATCTGATGGGAGAGGACCACACAAAATGGACAGTATATATACTGCAATGCCAAGATTGCGTGAGCCATATGCCACCAGTCAGTGTGCAGCTAGTCAAAACTTTGGAACCGTGAGTGGATTCAAGTCAACCAGTGCGCTAGAGAAAAACTGCAATTCGCAGATGGAACTGAATAAGTCTTACGATGTAAAAAACCCATCTCCCTTACTGATGCAAAACCAGAATACCAGACAGCTGATGGACACCCCTACAGTGACCTGTGGAAATGAACAAGTTTTGGATAACAGTTTTGAGAAAGTTAAACGGAGACTTGATTTAGATATTGATAGTTTGCAAAAAGAAAACTGCCCTCACATCTTAACAACTGGAATAGCTGAACAGGAAAGGCCACATTTGCTGGAAAAAAGATATCCTAGGGGGTCTGTCTACATCAATAAGAACAAAATGTTAGAAAGTGATTCCAAAGGTGAGCAAACTTTGAAGTGTTTGATATCTGCTATGCAAATGCCCTCTTTAGTTAATACTTTTAATTGACATTCTGCAAAATGATAGTTTTCATCTGTTCATCAGGGTACTTAATTTCATTTATCAGAGAACATGCCTTAGCTACAGTTGATTGGTGTCTGGTAGGTTTTTTTAAAGGATTTTCTTATTTAAATTATGAATCTTTCCCAGTTGTTTAGGTAGAGACTATTGTTAATGACTGGAGGAAGAAGTTCCTGCATGGCCCATCACTCAAAGTTTTAATCGCAGTGTATTGCTATGATGTCTTCCTTTTGGTCTGTGGTTTCTAATAGTTTTATCAGTTTGCCCTTTCACTTGTAATGAGAACTTCATGTAGTCAGCCCTTCATACACTTCCACACTGAATTAAAAAACATATCAAAAATCTATGTGAGTGGTGTTTCGAGAATAGAATCTTTATTGATAAAAATTATTTGAAGTTTGTTTTGTTGCATCTAATATTATATTAACAGAAACTTGTTAAAAATGTCTTTCCTCATTACTCTTTATTTTGTCATGGTTCATAATTCTTCATTACTGATACAGAAGACTTGTAAATCAAGAAATTAAGATTAAGTTCTTAGTCATAGACTTTTGAGCTCTAATGTGATATATATCTTCCTGGGGACACATTCTGTAAAATTGCAAATTAAAAATAAGAGGGTTTGTAGGAAAAATAGGGTAGGCCACTTAAAGCCTGTGCAGCTTTATAAGAACTCTGATAAAAACAACAGTTGATCCCTGTGGAGCCAGCTCAGATTGTCCAAGTAGATGGTGTGGCTGGCTAGAGGCTGTCTCAGTGAATACCAGGAGTACTGAAAAGCAGCCAAGTGGTAGTTTGGGCAGTCCTTTCGTAAGAACATGTGAGATGAAGCCAACCATAGCAGTGACAGGCTGCTATCAGAGTGGGCAAGTGCAGTGTACTAATAGCCGACCCAGCTTGGTGTACCTCTGCAGAGGGAAACCCTGGACTGGCACTCATTTATAGTTTTTAAGATAGAGCTGAATGGCCTCTTGCTGTTTAATCGAGTGGTTTTGCTGAGGGACTTTTCCCTTTTTGCTGAAAGTTATAATTCTTCTGCTTTTCCAGTCCTTTTTGCCTATGAAAAATTGCATGTGAACAAATGCAAATTGTTGTGGCTGATAAATATGTTTAGGAACAAATTATGAGAATACCATAGCAGATAGAATATGTTTATTTTCAGGAAAAATCACTGACTGTATATTTGAAAAGAGTGATTGAATTTAGTTGAATTATAATGAATCCACAAATATTTATGTGATACATCTGTGTAATACTTGGTATTCAACATTTCAAAGTGTCTCACCACTTTTCATTCAGTAAGTTGCATAGTCATAATGATTTAATAAATTTTTTAGTAATTCAAACATCTGGAATTTTAATATCCACTCTTCTTGGAGCCTCAAGCTAAGAAGCTTTAACACTATCAAAGGAACATGTATTTTAAAAAATCAAAGCAAATCAAACCTACAAGCTACAATACCAGAGATCCTGGAGAAGGGTAAGAGTCAAAAGAGTGAATGGAGGTGAGATGCAGATGGGAACCATCTGGAAGTTAGCTGGAGAAAGGAGAATTTTGACTGACACACAGTCTTGCCTCTGTCGGTTCTGATCATGTTGGGATCTGTTGAGTGAGTGGGTAAGGGTGCTGAGATAAGGTCTTTGCTTGGTAGCTTGAAATGTGAGGAGTGGTTCGAAGTGGGGACCTGGCTGTATGTTGATTACATTATGTCAGATCCAGGAAGCATATGTCAGAGGCATAATTTAAACTGATGGTATAAATACCAGATACTAGTAAATTTCCTAAATTTGAGGGGACACATTTCTTTCCTTTTCAGAAGGTGAGGATATATTGAAAAGCAAGATGTTAGCTTTTGAAGAAATGAGGAAGAGACTAGAAGAACAGCATGCCCAGCAGTTATCACTACTCATAGCTGAGCAGGAAAGGGAGCAAGAAAGACTGCAAAAGGTGAGGAATTAGAATGTAGGACTATGGGGCTGGGGAGTGGGGTTTAGTTGGGAATCTATGAACTTTGGTCATGTATAAGTACTTGCATTTTTTTTTCCCTGCGTATTTTAACTTGAAGGGGCTATTGATTTTGACACATGGATAATATTTTTAATGCCAATCTGTGAGATTTACTGTTTAGATCCATGTCTAAAAATAAAGCATACTTTACCAAAAAGATACTTCAATGAATCCTTGATTCAAAACTTTTAATATTTTTTAAAGGTATTTTTTTAAATTTATTTTTTATTAAGGCATCATTGATATACATTCTTATGAAGGTTTCACAAGAAAAATAATGTGGTTATTACATTCACCCTTACTATCGAATGCCCCCCCCAAACCCCATTGCAGTCACTCTCCATCAATGTAGTAAGATGCCACAGAGTCCCTATTTGTCTTCTCTGAGCTACACTGTCTTCCCCATGACCCCCTACACATAATGTGCACCAATCATGATACCCCACAATCCCCTTCTCCCTCCCTACCTGCCCTCACCCCACTCCCCCTTTGGTAACCACTAGTCCCTTCTTGGAGTCTGTGAGTCTCCTGCTATTTTGTTCCTTCAGTTTAGCTTTGTTATTATACTCTACAAATACTCTACAAATGAGGGAAATCATTTGGTATTTGTCTTTCTCTGCCTGATTTATTTCACTGAGTATAATACCCTCTAGCTGCATCCATGTTTTTGCAAATGGTAGGTTTTGTTTCTTTCTAAGGGCTGAGTAGTATTCCATTGTGTATATGTACCACATCTTCTTTGTCCATTCATCTACTGATGGACACTTAGGTTGCTTCCATATCTTAGCTATTGTAAATAGTGCTGCGATAAACATAGGGGTACATATGTCTTTTTGAATCTGAGAAGTTGTTTTCTTTGGGTAAATTTTTAGGAGTGGAATTCTCGGGTCAAATGGTAATTTTATTTTTCATTTTTTGAGGATCCTCCATATTGCTTTCCACAATGGTTGAACTAGTTTACATTCCCACTAGCAGTGTAGGAGGGTTCCCCTTTCTCCACATCCTCGCCAGTATTTGTTCCTAGTCTTTTCGATGTTGGCCGTCCTAACTGGTGTGAGGTGATATCTCATTGTGGTTTTAATTGACATGTCCCTGATAATTAGCAATGTGGAGCATCTTTTCATGTGCCTGTTGGCTATCTGAATTTCTTTAAAGGTATTTTATAAATAGATGAAAGATGAAATGTACATTCTTTTAGATTATATTATAAGAGGAGGGACACTTGTTTTAAGATTATTATAGTTAATATATCACATCTTAAAATCAATTGTCAATCTTAGTTGAGGGGGGAAAATTTAAATAAACAATTTTCTGGTAATTGCATCTGCTTTTAGGTGAGCCTAAAATACTTTTGGACTGTAATTAAAAAGAACTGTTAATCTACAGGAAATAGAAGAACAGGAGAAAATGTTAAAAGAGAAGAAGGTGAATGCAGCTGAAGCCTCTGAATTGGACATTAATAATGTGGTAGAGTTAGAATGGAGAAAAATCAGTGACTCTGGTTTGTTAGAAACAATGCTGTCTCAAGTGGACTCACTCTATACTTCAAATTCACATAGTTCTGGTAAATATTTTAAAATATTTTCCCATTTGAAAAGATTATCCTATAGTAAGATGTTTTATCTGGCACACTTTAAAATTGTAGCTCCTTCAAGTAATTCCATGTCCAGCCCATTGCTATTTGCCAGCTGCTTAGTAACTAGTGAAAAATGAAATGATAGCAGATCAAAGACTGGGTGAGCAGGTGTTCATGAGAAAAGTTAGCAAGGGAAGTATCAGGAAATTTGACTCAGAGCCCAGCCTTTGTTCATCATGCAGCAGGTGATATGCTTCAAATGAGCACAGCTGTCTCCCAAGTGATCCTGAATTACATCTAATTCCCCAGTCTCTGTAAGAGCTTATCTTCACATCTTGTTATCCTGAAATGCTGTTTGTGTTGAAAAGATCCACCTGGGTTTATAAGTTTAAAGTCCATAAATATTTTAAATCTGCATGTGGATCAGTTTCAGAGGCAGTTGTATTTCTTAATGAGTGTCAAGTGTTTATTTGTATGTTCTGCATATTCTTGTTATATGACATCAAGTATGTTACTGTATGTGTATTTCTGTAGGTTTCACAAATTCCGCCATACAACATAGCTTTGGTTCTGCAAATGAAGCACCGTTCTACCTCTGGGGATCACATAGTGGCTTGACCAAACTCTCAGTAACAAGGCCTTTTGGAAGGGCCAAAACTAAATGGCCTCAGGTGGGCAAACTTAATGGTACATGTATGTCCATCTTCTGCCTGTCTATTTTTTAAAGAGGTACATTGTTTTAAGTTTTACAAATGAACTTGAATATTTTTGCCATTCTTCAAGTAGCTTAGCTTTTATTAGAGGTGAAACTATACAGGGCATACATATATAGAAGATTTTAGTTCAGTGTATTAAATAAAGAAAAAGAATCTTGAGCATAATGCTCAAATACTTAAAACATTGTGTCTGTCTGCTTCTTTTAGGTTTTCAGTTCGGAAGTACAAGCAAAATTTAACAAAATAACTGCAGTGGCAAAAGGATTTCTTACTCGTAGGCTTATGCAGACGGATAAGCTGAAACAACTTCGACAGACTGTTAAAGTAAGGAGGTTGTTGTCAGTCATTTGTATGTCACTTTTGTCTCCATTTTGGTCAATCATGTGACAGCTAGAGTTGGCAAATTAGGTTTTTTAGTCACTATAATATAGGCAATTTTAGAAATATGATTATTAATCTCATTCAGGTAATTTTTAAAATAGGTAAATGAAGTAGTTTGTGTATTTTTGTCCCACTTTAAATTGAGTGCTGTTTGACTTCTGTGATAGTTTTATGTTCTTAGTTTTGGATTGCCTGCGAAAAAGAACAAAAGGAAACTCCAGTGATCAGGAATCTTTCTAGAAAAATGGTTTTTGAAGGAGCATTTCTTCTTTCAGGACACTATGGAATTCATAAGAAGTTTTCAGTCAGAAGCACCATTAAAGAGAGGAGTTGTTTCAGCACAAGATGCTTCCCTTCAGGAAAGGGTGTTAGCTCAGGTAAATGCGCAGAGGCGCCCTGAAGGCTTTTAAGGAAGTGGAAATTTACATTTCTATCCCTTCATTTAACCACTGGAAATAGGTTTCAATTAAAACTTTAAAATTTTCTGTAAATTCAAGTCCATGTAATATATCTGAACTCTAACCTCATCTTTCTAAATGGGCCCGGTATTTTCTTCTTTTGAACCTAGTTGCGAGCTGCCCTGTATGGTATTCATGACATATTCTTTGTAATGGATGCAGCTGAAAGAATGTCTATTCTACATCATGATCGAGAAGTTCGCAAAGAGAAAATGCTCAGGCAGATGGTATGTTAGTATGATTTTTTAATGAAGGAGTGAAAAAGAAAAACTCTGTGTCTTCTATACTCACAGAATACTTCTGACACCATACGCATGTTTTTTCCCCCCATACTGACCAGTTCTCCCACACCAGCAGGGTGTCCTATAATTCAGTTCTGACGCTCTGAGTAAAGAGGCAGTTCAGACTGCCCCCACTTCAGACACCATTCAGAAGTCCCAGGTTGTCACCTGTACTTTTGACCAATTGGCGTTCCTATGACCCTGTCTCTGGGTTTGATACTTTTCTGTAATGGCTCATAGTACTCAGGGAAACACTTATACATACTGGTTTATTATATAATAAAGGACATAGATGGACAGCCAAATGAAGAGATGTATAGGGCAAAGACTGGAAAGGTTCTGACAGCAGGAGCTTTTCTGTCCCCATGGAGTTGGGATGTGTCAACTTCCTGTCATTTGGATATGTTCCCTAACCCAGAAGTTCTCTGAACTCCATACTTTAGGGATTTTTATGAAGGCTTCGTCATGTAGTTACTAACTCAGTCTCTAGCCCCTCTCTTGTCTCTGAAGAATGAGGGGGAGAGGCTGAAAGTCCAACCTTCTAATAATCATGCTTGGTCTTTATGATGAGTACCCCCACAAAGCCCTCGAGAAATTGCCTCATAAGAATGGCAGATGCTCCTGTCATCCAGGAAATTCCAAGGGATTTAGGGGTTCTGTGTCAGGAACAAGGTCAAAGACCAAATATTGGAGTAAAAGATGCTACTACCATCCCTTGTAATCAACGGGGGTTTTAGGAACTCTGTAGATACAAACTGGGATCGAAGACCAAATATTAGCAGAAACCAAGGGCAGAGAACTATATATCTTTTTCACAATGAGATTCTTCTGGGTTTGTGGAAATGCTAAATACCATTTTCTATTGACTTCAGCACCCTTCCTACAATTCTTAAGCACCGGTAATTCCCCGAGTTACCAGTAACATTTAAACCTATAGACAGATTTAAAAGAAATTGGTGAAAGAATTGCATATTTTGTGTTTGGATTTTGGAGTTGAAATTTTGAATGTTGCTTGGATAGCTTATGAAAAATTGTCATCTCCTGATTTAATTTCCTTGCAACTCATGTGGATTTTTCCTTTTTTGGAAATTGGGGTTAGAAAACAGGCTCCAAATTATTTGAAATATATCAGAGTGTTGGAGGTCTGTGGTTTGAATCAGTGATACTAGTGTGGTTGATGAAAGAAAAGGCAGAATTTTTATTATTTCATTGGAAAAAATAATCTTAATTATTTAATTCAAAAAATCAACTGTTTCAGTTATTAAGACAGGCTAAGTTGAAGTTCAAAACTCCAGAAAGAGAATTTTTCTATGCAGTTTGAGAAGATCCTGAACTACAATTTAGTGGTATTAGTGGTACCAGTTAAGCTTTATGTTTATATTTTAAAGGATAAAATGAAAAGTCCACGAGTGGCTCTTTCGGCTGCAACACAGAAGTCTCTTGATAGAAAGAAGTACATGAAGTAAGATTCTTCCATGTCATGTCACATTAATTTAATTATTGAACCAATTAATTTTAGTAATCTATTAGTCTATTTGTATATTCAAATTAGAAATAAAGAACAGTTCACTTTTCTATGGCTGAGCTAATAGAAATCCCTTTTTTATATAGAGTATTATAATCAAGTGGTAAAATTTGATTTCATCTTTAGATAAAAGTATAAACTACTAAGTTTGTCCATGTCCAACATGTGAAATTGATAGCCAATCTCAAAAATAACAATGTTAATTTTACATCTTTTAAATATATTCATTTTCTATTATTCTAGAGACTTCTTGGGAGAGAAATTTAATGGAAACAATATTCTAATAGCTATCTTACTGAAAGTCTTCTTTCTTGAAATTAGTCATTAGTACATAGTACAGGTATTTCAGGAATATATCAACTCTTAAGTGATGTTTTGTTTCTGTCATCCTGTATCACTTTTGTAAGCATGTTGATCCCCCCTTTCTAAATACATTGTTTGTGTGTCCTTATTTTTTTATTGTGTTAGAGCTGCAGAAATGGGAATGCCAAATAAGAAATTTCTGGTTAAACAAAATCCTTCTGAAACAAGGTGAGAAAAACCACTTAGTGAGGGGCTGTGTTTTTATTTTTAAGGAAAATTTTATAAATCCTGAGCTTGCTTTTCATTGGTTTTGTTCTGTTTTACATCAGTAGAACATTCCCTGCTGAGTTGGAGATTGAAGGGCCAGGATCCATATTAACACCTGGTCATGTACCTGGTCACATTTCAGACCAGATGTTCCTGCAGCTTTCTGTTGGATATGTTACCTCTGGCAGAAATTTGAGCCCCATATGTCTTTAGTTCAGTCCACAGTCCAGGAGGTCTATGATACTTAAAAACCTTAGAAAGCTAGTATTTCTAACCTGTTGTCTACTCTTACTCAAACTCTTACATGTTTGAAAGGAAAAGTGGGCTTTTGTAAAGTATATAGAGAAATTACCTAAAAGCACAAGGATTAGTACTTGTGTTGGACTTGTCTTTCCTGATAAAAACTTAAGGTTTGGGCTCTTAGTGAACAAAATATAGGCACCATATTAATATGCTTTAGTCAATTTGATTTGTTTTGTGGTATTTTACTGGCCATATCATTGATTAGATGACTTCCACCTCACTGTTAATAATCTTTCATCTATTGAAAGAAAATGGGGGGAAAATGGAATTTATCTTTTTGAATTAATTTTTTATTTACTTTGTCAACAGAGTCCTTCAACCAAATCAAGGACAGAATGCACCTGTTCATAGGCTACTTAGTAGACAAGGGTAAGAATGCCATAAACCTGGGTGTTTAAAAATGCTCAAATCAAGATATGCTTTGAAAGGGAAAAATAATTTAGTGCTCTTTACATAAAGGATAACTACTTTTCAAACATGGTATTTTTTATAACATTAGGAAGAGCTTTTAAAATTTCGTGCTCAAAGATAATCCTTGGTGTACTGTTGTGTATTATATTTTGTCATTCTTATGTTGCCATGTTTTTTATTTTCATTTCATACCACTTTGCTCATTAAATATTGTAAACATCATTTATTAAGTTTAGCACCACCAGAGTGATTGTCCAACGCTAAGCCATGATTATAATCTGCTGAAGCAAAAGTGTGTATGTAGCTTCTTTACCATGCACACATGAGACTTAGATTCTGTCAAGCTTATTTGTACTTTGAATAGTTGACACAGTATGGTTGCTTTCTTTGAATGTTGAACATTAAGATCTTAATGCAAGTGACTTATTAATTTTTTTATGTTCAATTAGAACCCCTAAGGCATCAGTGAAGGGGGTTGTGCAAAATAGACAGAAGTCTTCACAGAGCAGAGTGCCTAACAGAGCGCCTGTGTCAGGTGTGTAGCAAATGAGTTCCTGAAGCCCAAGAGAAGAAAGTGTGCAAGCTGCCCCGTGATGCAGGCCTCACAAGTGGGCTATATCGTCTTTTCTTGCCACCATAACTTTGGCATATTCACAGTCATTCCTACCAGTGGTCGTTTGTGTTAGTACGTTGTGGCAATCAGGAGATCTTAGTAAAACTGTGGTTCCAATTTTGACTTCTGTAATAATTCCATGGAAATACTATATCTTTTTTAATCAGGAAAATATGCAGAGTTATACATGCTTAATTCAGAAAACCTTTTTACAAATGAGTAAAATGTAATAATCTGATGTCTAAATCTGTGCATTTATCTGTTCAGCTTTGGGGAGGTGTATCACCCAACAATATTTATTTCTGCACAGAAGGGGATGAAAATTTTCTCCTCCTGACCACAAGATCACATGTGAATATGCCAGGTGGGAGGGGGTACATTTTGTTTCATTTTTTGTAATCTTTTGCTCATTAAGAAGCTTGAACTGAGCCTGTCTTTATGTTCATTATTTGAGGAGTATTTAAGGAAGGGCTAAACTAAAAACAGATTTTAAATTCTGTTTATGGTGGCAAGAACACAAATTCGATGCCAAGGTAATGCAAAATTCTTAAGTTAATGTTTTTAATATTTTTAGGTATCTTTATGATAAGCTCACCAAAAATTATATGACCCATTAAAAATACTTTCAAAATGCTTTAACTATACTACTTTCTAAACATTTAAAAGACACCTAAATTAATCACTGGGCAATGAAGATTAAATCTTCAATCAATTCTAATCTTCTCATTAACAGACCATGAGACATATTTTAGAGCTTTTATTACTGATTGCCTCCATATTAGGAGGGAACAAGCAACATAAATACTTTCATGTTATTGCCATTTGTTCACATAAGAAGGAAAGAGATATTGATCATAACTTTGAAATGACTGCTGAGCTTTTTACGTGTCTATATTGAATTTAATTCATGATGTTGCATATACAGAGGATAATTTAAAAGGTCATCTTTTGGAAGTCACTGAGTGATAGTCAGTGGAGTTGTTTTAAAGGGATTGATTACATGGTTGAAGATCCTGCTTATTGCAGAGATAGTCAGAATCAGTTTGAAAGATAACCGTTTGGAAGAACTTCAGAAGTGTTGCTTGTGAAGTTATGTGAAATTTTAAGACATTTTCAGTTTGTTTTTCCCATGTGTTATATTTTGTGATAAATTCAAGCTAGTTGACAGATCATTGAGGAATGAGCATTGTTTTGTCTAACATTATTTGCCACAGTGACTCTTCATGTTCTTTTCTCATGCATTTCATCTCCACTATTTGTCACTTGTGAACCTGTGAGCAAAATAGAGAGCACCTACTATTTCTATTCAGTAATACTCAACAGTATAAAGGATAAATTTGTATTAACTCACACAGTTCATAATGTACAAAGAAATTAGGTATTTACGACTACTGTGGTTTAATTGCCTTGCAACTTAATTATTAATACAAATGAATTTAACCCTTGAATTAACATGTACATTTAATATACATCTTAACAAATGCAGATTTTCTTCCCTGTATTTTCTAAAGATTTATTTATACATGTGTGCATATTTAGACAACTGAAAAAGACTAAAGAATTTTTTATTCTTTTACATAAACTGAAAATTTGGGCTATGACTGATTAAAATTCTAACTGTAAATCTCAACACAGGAATCTATCGTCACTCCTAAACGGGGTCTCTTTCTTGCTTAGATTTTTAATAGCCTGGATTATGTTTCAAACAAATTTTAAATTATGCTTAATTTTGATCTATCTGGAGAATAAACTAATTATTAAACAAATTATGGAAAACTCATTTTTATTATGATGATAGAATGTTATACTCTTAGACTAAAGTAGAATTCTAAGGTGTTAAAGTATGCTGCCAAGCACTTAAAGTTGTTTATCATTTTTACAAACTAAATTGCAGTCTCTGATCTCATAATATGTTTTAAGATATATTTGCTCATGTGATGTTTTGAGCTTGACTAGTGAAATTCAAAACCACTAATTAAAGCAGAGTAGGAGATACTAATGCAAAATGGTTAAGTAATAACAAATCAAGTGGAATTGGGTTCTCAGGGTCTCTACTTCGAACTTTGTTACTTAGGCAAGTGGCTTTTCTTTTCTCAGTTCTGTTGTTCTTAAAATAGTAGTAACAATATCTACCTCAGAATTATTTTATATAAGGATTAAATATGATAATGTATATTGCTTAGCTCAGTGCCTGGTACATAGTAAGCACTCTCTTAATGGTATTTAGAAGAATTAATATTGAGAAATAATACTAGTTTTGCTTTATTTTTAGGAGTATATGCAGGAAAAATCCAAAGAAAGCGGCCAAATGTTGCGACAATTTAAGAAGACAACATTCATTAGGATAAAAGGGGGGAGTTTCATCTATATTTTTTTCCCTGCCCAAGACTTTTTATTTAACCCTGAACTCTATTTGCACAAATGAAGTGACACTGAGCAATTATCTGGATAATTTGGTCAGTCTGGCTGATTCCTTCCCTACATCCCCATTTTCCCCTTAATATTAGGTCTAGGTGAAGAAAAATTAGTAGTTAGTAGTTGATTCATCTCTGTGTTTAACCTGTACAAACATAAGTTTTTTTGTGCATACCCAGATCTGCTGAGAGCCCTTTTGTAAACTTAAAGGACATTTGGGTTTATTTCTAAAATATTGAAAAGGTATGAGTAGCAATTTTCTGAAATACAAATTTCATTCATGTCTGCATACTGATTGCTGAATTTGGTAAAGTAGATACTGTTCTATTCAAGGGAAAATTATTGCAGAAGAATATTTTCCCCCAGTTTTGTAACTTTGAAAAACTCTGATTGACCCCTCAGTCTTCATATTCTTGAACTTACAGGATAACTTCATAGGGTAAGACTCTTGCCTGCTGATGGTGGTCCACCTAAAATTTACCACAGAAGTGACTAGGGTCACCCTTTTGGTCACAAGTGCACATTCCTTGCAACAACTGGTTATCTTACAGAAATATTAGGTTGAATTTATGTTACCCCAATAATCTTAGAAGTATTTCTACTAAATTGTAAAATATTTGTGGAGGGCAAAAATTTAGGGAAGACAGCACAATCTTCGTGAATGTAGTTATCCCTTAGGAGTGCATTATTACACCCACTTCTGAAAACAGAGTAACATTTTGCATGTAGTTGTATTTTCTATGTAGTCTGTGCATTTTGTTCCTTCACAGTCTGCTTTTGCTAGCATGCTTGATTTAGGAGAGAATAAAGGGCTATATAATATAATAATTTCAGATTTTCAGATGGGATAGTAATACTGTCTAGTTGAAATTCTGCATATACTTAAGAGGCACTGGTATTTAAAGTTTTTCATCATTAACATTCATTTAAAATGGAAACCAAAAGAATGTCACCAAGATCAGGATTTTATGAAAGAGAATGCCACTGTTAGTTTATCATACTATTTCCAAAAAGGGCTTTGTGCTTCTCATATAAAATTGGGATGGTGTATGTTTAATCTTTCTAACTTGAATTTTAAAAAGATATTTTGAAAATGCAGACTATATATATTCTTAATATCCTTTTAAGAATGTGAAGATAAAGATTGTTTTCTCTGATTTTCAGTTCTATTTAAAATTTAACTTTTACTCCCAGCTATAGACAGAAAGTTTACTCGGGTGTAAACTTGATTTTCTTTACTGAGATCTATCATTTATTGAATGAGTGAACCAGAAAATTGAAAGATAGTCAACAATATCTGAGTTACCAATTTTTTGTTTGTAGGCAAAGTATATCAAGTTATCTTCTTAATATGATAAATTGTACTTTATCATTCTGAAAACTCAGGATACAGCTTACCCTATCGTGGGTTTTTCCAATAAGAAAGATAGATGCTAAAAGTTTTGTGTTCTGTACATTAATGCAAATTAGCTAAATAAAACAAATAGTGTGTTTTGGAGGAAGGTAAACTAGTTTTAGATTAAGGATGAAAAACTTGTGTTTTTTTACTTTGAAGATAAAAGCTTGTGTATTTCACATCCTTTTTAATGTTCACAGCTTTCCTCATATAAGTGCCATTGTTTTGTGCTTTTAATGGATTTTTATTTATATACATTATTTTTATTTTGAGTGGAATGTCTACTAATGTAAATTATATTTATTTTTATACTTTAATTTTCACCAGTTTTGCTTCTAGGCAAAAGTCAAAATAAACTTTTCATCTTAAAGGAAATCTAGTTTGCTCTTTTTTTAGTGGTCCAAGAAAAGGACCATTAGATAGATATTGCAAATTATCTCATCAAAACATTCATTTTGAGAGCATACATTCTCAGTTCTTCAAAGTAATACAATTTTTTACAATGAAAAGTCCCATGAAAGGCATATCCCACTATTTAATATGCTACCTATACCTACGGCTTAGTACAGCATTTGATTTTGACTTTGAATTGGACTTCTCAGATGGCAAAAAGTTCATTAAGACCGGTAGTGTCTTAGCTTCTAAGAGCTAGAAGCCTGCTAAGGAGCAAGTGGGAGAGTATCCTACAGTTGAAGCTCACATCAAAGCTGTTAATTTGCACTTTCAGGATCCAGCTATTGTTACTACCTAATCATCAAAGGTGAGCATAGTAAAAGTTTCCTCATTTTCATCTTGAGGACAGACTGCATTTGACCATCTTCAAGGCAGTATGGAAAGAGTCCCTCACTTTTCCTATGGCCACCCTTCCCCTCTTGTTCATTTCATATGTTGAGAATAGTGGATATGTCTGGAATCTGTAATTACTCATACTGAGATGAAAACAAGGACCCATTCTGGAGATGGAGATGATCTTTTTTTCTGTCAGGTGTCAACTGTCCCATGAAAAAATCCCCCCCAACCCCCACTAACAGTAATAGTTATGAAAAAACAAGCAAATGGCGTTGGAATGCTTTATCTCTAAGGGACCATAGTGGGCAGGTTATACGAATTTTAAAAAACAAAGGAGACAGTTGTTGAACACAGCCAATCAAGTTGGAATATGGTACAGTGAAATCTCATCCGTGATCAAGTTCTAAAGACAGCGCTGAGGGCAAAAATTACCCAACCAAAAATATACTTGACAGTAGAATACTACCTTTCACTGATGTATTTAATCTGTCTCTTCCTTTTTTGGTCATTTTTTTCTATGGCCCTCAATTCTTCAACTACTTCAGGTGGTCGACAAAGTTGCCAGCTGAACCATGGCTTTGCTTTTCAGCCTTTGGGGAAAATCCCTTATTCATACTTGCCATGAGTTTTAACACGTGGATTGAACACCATTATGTGTTTGATGTATGTGAGATAATAGAGGAGTTTGGATTAGTGAGTATGGTTGAATATGCCTAGGAGCACATGATGCTGCTCTGCTCTATTACCGCATTTCATTTTGCATCCAAAGGGACCAGCAACAGTGCCACCTGGGGAACTTGTTAGATATGCAGAAGCCCACACTCTGCTCCAGACCTGAATCATAACCTGCATTTAACAAGATCCCCAGGCGAGTCTGCACATTCAAACGTGAGAAGCACTGCTTTATAGATGGTCTGCCTGGTAGGCTGCCACAGAGAGAAAAGCTCTAAAAACACGAAGATCACAGAAGGTACAATACGATTCTTTTGCCAGCCTAATTATGTACAGCTTCAATTGAGTGCTGGGACCATTTGTTAGGCATTTTTTAATCATCTCCCCTCACCTTGAAATAAGAAGTATCCTAATTTCACAGGTGTAGAAAGTGGGACCCAGTATGCTGGATAACGTATCTCATCAGAGGAAGGAGAATGTGGATTTCTGACCTCTGTCAGAAAAGACAATTGAAAAGGGCAACAAAGCGAGGAACAGATCCTGCCTTGAGATTAACCAAGAGGGGTTAAACTAGTACTAGTCACTCTCGCTTGGCCTCAGGTAAAGCCCAGTTGGAGCACTTAACTAGTCAGGCAGTTCACCTTCAGTTTCTCCTTAACAAGTGACGCTGGTATTTCAGAGGTTTGCAGTGAGGAGTGAATGAAGAGTGAATGCAAAGTGCTCAACACAGTGCCTGACGCACACAGCAAGCATTTAGTAAACGGCTCTTGGGAAAATACCCTGATTTTTTTTTTTTTTTTTTAAGCACAGGAAACACTAGAGCCCAAGTTCTGTGGTTGAAACGGATATCCGCCTTCATAGAAACGTACAGTGTGGTGAAAGCCCCAGTTTCCCTACGTGGTTTAGTTCTAGGGCAGCCCTTGCAGACTGCAGGTGTCTGAACTTCCTCGGTGCACAGCAAGGAGGGGTAGCCTGGGGGAGGGCTTATGCACGCCAAACAGCTGATCAGTCATAAAACCACTGGCAGTTTGAATCACGGATCGTTTTCCCACCGCCAGAGGCGGTTAGCGTCTTCGCTCGGCGGGTGTCTGGACTCCTCTCCACCCCCAGGGGCGCAGGTGGGCCAGGTAGCCAACGACCCCTCACAGCTCCGGCGCGCCTCCCGGGAGCCGTCGCTGCCGCTTATGGTCCTGGCGCCGCTGACGGCTCAGCCCGGTCTGTAAACGGGCGCCTGCCCCTCACAATCATGGCACCCCGAACGGCACAGCCTGGACCCTGAGGGGCGAGTGCCCCTCACAATCATGGCGGCAGAGACGGGCGGATGTGAGCCGCAGCACGAGCCGGCGGCCCCAGAACAGGCGGTCATGTGACTGGAAAGATGGCCGTCTTTCCTTGGTAAGGAAGAAGCGGCCGTCCGGTTTCGGGGAGGGCGGCCTGCGGTCTTTGGGTGTGTCTCTGCGAGCGGTGAGTGTTCGGGGGTGTGAGTGTGAGCTGCGCTCTCCGCTGGGTGCCGGTGGAGCCCCCCGCCCCGCCGCTGTCCTGACCACAGAGGCCCCGGCCGCCGCCCGGTCCTGCGGAGCCACCCCGTAGCGGGACGCGTGGGGTCCCGGCTCTCTCCCTGCCGTGCGACCCCGCGCATCCCACGCCCGCCTCTCCGCCCGTTCCCTGAGAACTCACGCTCCCGGCGTCCGCTTTCCCAGGAAAGTTGCTGCGGGTTCTGGGTGCGCTGGCTGCAGAGAATGCTGGGCTCAGCTGTGAGTCTGACAGCGCCAGGCCTTTCCTTGAGCTACTTGCCCCCCCCATGGACGGGACGTGCTTTTCTTACCTATAAAACGGCCGCCATTCACCCTAGCTGTGCAGGGCCCTGTGCTGGGCACTGAGGATGCCAAGCCTTCAGATGTACCCCTTGGCCCCAGGTTGCAGACACAGACCAGAAGGATGTCCAAAGGAGGTGTTCGCTTGAGGCGCAACTCCCCCTGGGGGCTCGGGAAACCTGCATAGAGAGACTTAATTTAGGCTGTGGAGGATGGATACCCAGGCCCGTCAGGGCTCCTGTGGCCGAGGTCACTCTAGGAGGGGCTGGTGCCTAGCCTCCACTGGGTGTTATGAGTGTGTGAAGAACCTGAACAAGTTGTGATGGTGACAGTGGCCTTAACTGGGAATGGGAGCTCTCCCCTGTGGATAAAATGAGAGTTCCTGTGGCCAGGATTTTCACCTGGCCCTGGTTGACTAGCTCACTGCACACTTGTGGGCAACACATGGCTGTTGACTCTATAAAAAGAGCTCCACCCAGTGCTCTGGGCACGACACCGTGGCAGGGCTGCAAGGCTGCAGGAGAGCAGAGCAGAGGCTGGAGTGGTGGCAGTGCCGAAGACAGAGGCCCAGAGGACGGCTGTGCAGAGAGGCCCAGAGGATGACTGTGCGGACAGAGGGGCCCAGAGGCAGAGACTGGCTTGCTGGCTGCAGACTCGTTCTGAGTGAATGGGATTCTAGTGACTGACCTGCCACCTGGAAATAAACTTGGGAATAACCCTTTTAACCCAAGAACGTTTGCTTGTCATTTTCTCTGGTCACACTGAATCCATAGCAAGCTTGCCCTGGGCTGAAACTCATTGGCAAGGAAATTGGTGAAAGTTGGCAGGGTTCACTGTTGACCAAGGAAAAAGACAGGCTGCCCTTATGGGAGGGATACTTCAGCAGGCTGCCCCTGTGAATAGGGAAACAGTGGATCGTCCCCCAGTGGGTATGTGGTCTGAGGTGGCTTGCCTCTTAGAGGACTGGGCCCCACCCCAGGACTAGAGGCAAGTGGAGGTGACACCTTGAGGCAGTAGGTGTGGCTCTTGATATAGTAAGCAGATCCTTTGAGAAGCAGAGTGCCCGTGAGGCAGTGGGGATTGTGGGTTGGCTGCTTCTCACAGTCTTAAAAAGGTCTACAGAGGATACCCAAGAAATGGCGGCGTGAAAACGTGAGCTGCAATACTAGTAGATTCCCTGAGGAGGGAAATGGCATTGATGCAAGAGGCGGCATGAGAACATGAGCTGCAGACTTCTGTGGATGCCCTGAGGAGGGAAATGGTATATGGCATTGATGTAAGAGGCGGCATGAGAACATGAGCTGCAGACTTCTGTGGATGCCCTGAGGAGGGAAATGGTATTGATAAGGGAGGAGGTGGCACGAGAGCACAGCTGCAAACCTCTGTGGATGCCCTGAGGAAGGAGATGGCCTTGATGCGGGAGGAGGCAGCACGAGAGCGCTGGCAGCAAGGTGCCATTGGACATGAGACGGCAGCGCTGCCAGGTGTTCTGAAGAAGGAAGAGGCCATCAAGGAAAAAGATGAACTCCTGAGGGAAGCACAGGTGGAGGTGGCATGAGAACGTCAGCTGCGAAGCATTGAGCTGAAGGTAAGAGACCTTCTGAAGACTGAGCTGGCATTGTTGTGAGGCAGTGTAGCAGAGGAGGCACTTGGAGTGGAGAGAAAGATGCCATCAGCCCCAGAAATGGAGTTGCTGGAGAAGGATGAAGGGGTGGTGCCAGAGGCACTGGCGCCTCCTGTATTGAAAGCACGCCCAGTGGTTGTAAAGAAAATGAAGACCCAGCAGCTGAAAGTTCCCCAAGGAGAGGAGCAGCCCCCTACCCAGGTCATGGAGCACTCTGTGCTCGGCTCCTATACTCAGGCTGAACTGGTGGATTTGGGCTCCCGGTTTAGGCAGAAGCCTTCAGAGTCAATATCAGCTTGGCTCCTGCATCTGTGGGACTTAGGGGTGGATGGAATTGTTCTGTCGGGATCAGAGATGGGAGGCTGTCTTTCCTGACCGTGCAGCCTGCCGTGAGGCAGCAATTACAAAATGCACATCAGATCCTAGGGAGTCACTCCCTCCTCTATTGGCTTATGGCCGCACTTTGTGC